TCTGAAACCCGGGCCGGGAGGCCTCTAGGCTCCGCTGATCCCGGGGCCGGTAGGCCTCTCGGCTCTTCTGAAACCCGGGCCGGGAGGCCTCTAGGCTCCGCTGATCCCGGGGCCGGTAGGCCTCTCGGCTCTTCTGAAACCCGGGCCGGGAGGCCTCTAGGCTCCGCTGATCCCGGGGCCGGTAGGCCTCTCGGCTCTTCTGAAACCCGGGCCGGGAGGCCTCTAGGCTCCGCTGATCCCGGGGCCGGTAGGCCTCTCGGCTCTTCTGAAACCCGGGCCGGGAGGCCTCTAGGCTCCGCTGATCCCGGGGCCAGGAGGCCTCTTGGCTCTGCTGATCCCGGGGCCAGGAGGCCTCTCGGCTCCGCTGATCACGGCGCTGGGAGGCCTCTCGGCTCCGCTGATCCCAGGGCCGGGAGGCCTCTCAGTTCCGCTGATCCCAGGGCCCTGAGGCCTCTCGGCTCCGCTGATCCCGGGGCCTGGAGGCCTCTGGGCTCCACTGATCCCGGGGCCAGGAGGCCTCTTGGCTCCGCTGATCACGGGGCCGGGAGGCCTCTCTGCTCCGTGGCTTCAGGGCTGTTTGGCTTCGCTCTATGGCTTGGAGCCTGTGTATGCAGATTAACCACCATCTTTTAGCTTCTATAATTGAAACATTGTATCTTTTGGAGCTGTTGCTTCAGGTGCTCAGAGCCCCGCAGCTGCAGGCGGGAAAATTGGTTTCCTCTATCGCTGGGGCAACCAAGCATCTTGTTCTCAGCTGCCTGGCTGCAGGCGCCATCTTGGCTGACAGTTAATTTGCATATACTCTTGGGGCCCATTGGGGCCAGCAGTGCCTTCACCTGCCACCAGCTGCCAGCAACGTGTCATGTTCTGTGCTGCCCATGGGGACAATTTGCATATTAGGCTTTTATTATATAGGATAGTATTATCCTCTTGTGAAACTTAAAAATATAGAAAAGCATATAGAATAAAATTTAAATAATAATAAAGTGCACGAGAGAAGTGAAAATATATGTCCACACAAAGACTTGCACACAATGTTCCTAGCAGCACTATTTATAAAAAGCAAAAACAAGCCAAATGTCCATCAACATAAGGATTGATAAAAATTGTGGTAGACATACAACAGAATACTACTCAACAATAACAATGAATAAATTACCAAGGCATGCAAAAACATGGGTGAATCTCAAAAGCATCATTCTGAGTAAAAGCTAGACATAAAAGAAAACATACTGTATTATTTTATTCCATTTACAGAAAATTTTACAAAAAGTAAAACTATAGTGACAGAAAGCAGGCCAATGGTTGCCAGCGGCTGAGGTATAGCAGAAGACTGACTGCAAAGAGCGACAAAGGAACATATTGAGGTGATGGGAAGGCTCTATATCATCGTGGTGCTGGTTACACGACTGTATACATTTGTCAGAACTCATCAAATTGTAGACTTAAAACTGGCACCAATTTTATTGTATATAGTTATCCCTAAATAAAGTTACTTTTAAAAATTAAAGTGGTTCTTTTTAAATGGGTCCTTATTAAGATTTCTAAATCTGCATTTGTTATCTAAATGTCCTAATTTATATTTTAGTTCTATGGTAATTCAATCCCACATATAGTATTGTTTCTCATAATGACACAAATCCTTCTCAACTGATTGGAAACAATACATAGCAGGATTCTGTTTTATTTCCTACTATGTAAGCATGTGAATTCTGTTATTATCAAAATGACAATACTTTGATTGTGATAAATAAATTGTATTTATTTATCTAATTCTAGCTGCATAGCAATCTCATTTGCTCTCAAATACAAAGATGCGTTGGGAACCTCCTAAATGAAGACCTCAAGCTCCAAAAGATGAACACTGGCCTGCCTTTGAGACACTATAACCATGAGGAAAACACAGCAAGAACTTTTATTCCTTTGGGATTGAAATATCTTTTTATTTATTCCCATTCCCACACCTAGCACCTAATAAATACAGTACTTCAACAATGTTGACTGCTTCAAAATACTTATCTAATGCACAAATAAATGGAATTGCTGTTACCAAAAGACTCATTTCCTAAACAATCTATATTCAAACAAATTTTATAATGTTATTAACTTGCCTAATTTTAGTAACCAAAATACATACACAGGTCACAAGTCTTTACGTGTTAGGGCAGCCTACCTGAAAACCACAAGATAGTGTATTAATATATTTTCCCTGTTGTTCCGTATAGTTTCCAGAGTTAAAGAATGATCATACTACAATACAGAGAGAAAAAGCTGAAGGCAACTAGTTTCCATTCACTTATTATTAGACTTAGAAAAGCTAATCTAGTTTGACAGTTCTAACTGACTTGCTTTCCAAAAAACTCAAGGTATTTCCAACTAAATAGAATAATTATCCAAAGATTACTGACCAATGGTTAATTTATCCTCTTAAGTAACCATAAATAATAGGGATTACATTGCCTTGATATTTTTCCATAACCGGTTCTCAGTTGCCACCAGACACCAAAGTCATCATGATGAATTAGAGGAAGACAGATTAATTGGATTAAGCATTACTTTTACCCAATCTTTTTTCAAAATAAAATGCCTTTTAATTTAAGTGGATTAATATTTGTTTCCTAATCAAAGTTACAAAAAACATAGACAAAACTCATTATCATAGCATACACATAACAAATGAACTCTAAGTTACAGGAGACAGTGTGTTTTGAAGTGAATACCAAAAAACATGCATAGCTCTTCTGTAATTCCAGTCCTTTGGTATTAGCAAGTCTCTTTCTGCTGGGTGTGTTGGCATGGAATTTAAAAGACTATATGGCTTCTATTACTCAAATTCTGAGGGGGAAAAAATGGTTTAGTTAAACTTCCCTTTTTCTCTTCTTCCCATAATTATTAGATATCAAATGTACTTGTCAGCAAACCAGCACAACAGCAGACAGCATGGACAAAATACCGCCTTAAACCCTGACATTTGCTTTAATACAGACCTTGTAAATGAAGCCAAATGAGACTGAAAGACCAAACAGTTACTGGAAGGGTAAGGGTGTCTTGGCTTACAACATAAGGCAGACACCCTCTTCTTGCACAACTATCAATTCCCTCTTCATCCACCCCCTGCTTTTACTGGTTCTTCCTCCAGGGTCACTGCACTTCCAGCCCCTTCAGCTGGGCTTCAATCACCAGAGAGCAATTCAGGACCTGAGTGCTGAGAGTTTACAGCGTGGCACGTGAGTCAACACACACACCCACATAGCGACACGGTGCCAACCTGCTCAGTAACAGCAGTGTCTGACATATCTGTGTGCTTTGTACATCCAAAGCACTCAAACATTCCATTATCTTGAGTCTCACCAATAACACCGTGACAGGAAACTAAAGCAAAATACAACTGTGTGTAGCCAGGTAACTAGTTATTATCTGAATTAGAACGGACTCCATTTCCAGCCAGCCAGCACCACAAAAAAACAGACAGCACTTCCTCCGCCACCTGTCAAACCTCAGATGTCTAGTGTGAGTGTGCAACAGCAAGTCATGCTTCTTAACAAAGAGTACAACATCCCATCCTAGTCAAAAAAGAACTTAATTTCATTTATTTTAGTTTTCTAATAGCTTTCCTAGACAATTTTTTTAGTTTGTTCTTTCTAGACAATTTTTTAAGTGAGCCTACACTTAAACATGAGCTGTTTTCATTATGAATTGTGAATGAAGTAGCTGACTCAGTTACTAAATGCTGTGAAGTCTGATCTACAAGATAACATCATCTGCCTGTTGAATGAGTTTTCCACTGTCAATACATTTAAATTAGAAGTACAGTGGGGCCTTGACTTACGAGGGTCCCGACTAACGAGTTTTTTGAGATAAAGCCATCTCTCGGCCGATTTTTTGCTTTGAGTTGCGAGCTAAAATTCGGGTTACGAGCCAGCTTCAGATATCCCACCGCTAGTTGGCGCAGCGAACGTCACAGTGAACACCACAACATCAGCCCAGCATCATGTGTCTCACTAGTTCACTATTGATTTGACATACGAGTAATTTGAGTTACGAGCTCCGTCACGGAACGAATTAAACTCGTAAGTCAAGGCCCCACTGTACATAAATTAATTGAAACTATTCTAAGCTATTTTCACAATCTCTTGGCCTAGAACTTCATAAAAATAAGACTTACAGGCCAGCCAGGCTGGCACGGCTCAGTGAGTGAGCATCGACCTATGAACCAGGAGGTCACGGTTTGATTCCCGGTCAGGGCACATGCCTGGGTTATGGACTCAGTCACCAATGTGGGGCATGCGTGAGGCAGCCAATCAATGATTCTCTCCCATCATTGATGTTTCTATCTCTCTCTCCCTCTCCTTTCCTCTCTGAAATCAATAAAAATATAAAAAATAAAATTATAGTCTCTCTTTAAAAAAAAAAAAGACTTACAGACTGGCTTAATTACATCATGAATGAAAGAAACCATAAATGCCAATGGTCTCAGAGGTCCCATTAAATTAAAGGGGGAAAAATGACTAAGTTTTAGTACTAAGTGTTGGAAATACTTACAACCATGATAGTAAAAATGCAATACTTCCTTTGGAAAACTGTAAATCTGAATTAGAAAAATCTAAATGTTGGAAAGACTTCTTAAGGAATGAAGTTTTGTTACTTACAAATAAGATTATTTCAGTGGAAACTAACTAAACTACCAGAAGCAGCCACCAAGTCTGCTTGAAACAAAATTTCTGTTTTCTACTATGACAGTGGTTCTCAACCTCCTGGCCCTTTAAATACAGTTCCTCATGTTGTGACCCAACCATAAAGTTATTTTCGTTGCTACTTCATAACTGTAATGTTGCTACTGTTATGAATCGTAATGTAAATATCTGATATGCAGGATGGTCTTAGCGACCCCTGTGAAAGGGTCGTTCGACTGCCAAAGGGGTTTCGACCCACAGGTTGAGAACCGCTGTACTATGACATCTTGTTCCTCTTAGAGACACACACTCTTCCCAAAGCTCTACCTCTGGCCTCAGCTTCACTCTGAGGCTCCAGGTTCACATTTCCAGTTACCTGTTTGACATCAACCTCTGATGTTCTGCAGGCATTTAACAGTCACATATCTGACATCTGAGCCAGCCTTTCCCTGCCCACCCCTCCTCCTCAGGGCCCAGTAGCCTATCCCTGGCACCACCTGTCACTGTCTACATAATCTGTAGGGCACAGCACAACATGAAAACGTGGGGCCTCCCAGTTCAAAAATTATTCAGACGCAATCTCCAGACACAGGCCTCATCTGTTTCTGTGTCACTGTCCACAACCATCATTTGCCAAAATTCCTTCAGTCCATTTTGAAACGTCTCACATCTGTCCCTTCTTTCCTGCTTCTCAAATCTCACTTGGCTTTCAGCCAAGGACTTCATAACTGCTGTTCTTCCTATTTCTTGCCTTTTGCAAACCATTCACCTCTCTCTCTCTCTCTCTCTCTCTCTCCCTCCCTCCCTCTCTCCCTTTTTTGTTAATTCTCACCCGAAGATATTTTTTTCACTGATTCTTAGAGAGAGTGGAAAGAAAAGAGAGAGAAAAATATTAATGTAAGAGAGACACATCAATTGGTTGCCTCCCACATGAGCCCCAACCGGGGCCGGGGATCAAACCTGCAACCCAGGTACATGCCCTTACCTGGGAATAGAACCCATGACCCTTCCATGCACAGCTGGCGCTCTAACCACTGAACACAGCAGCCAGGGCAAAGCACTCACATCTTTTTAAGGCACACTTCGGAAACCCTCATTATCTCTCCATTGCCTGTTTGTTAAATAATGTCCAAGCTGCTTTACTCAGCATTCAAACCTCCCATTCCTCAGCTCCCCATCCTCTTCCAGACTTAACTCCTGTGACTTTCCCCTACATATTCTCCAAACTCCTTGTCATTCACTTAATGAGCCTAGTGTGTAGTCCAACATAAAGAACCTGGGTCCTGATGCCAGAGACTTAAGTTCAAATCGAGCTCCGCTACTTACTAGGCTCAGTTGCCCATCTGAAACACGAGGATCATATAGCAGTTATATTATAGGATCGTTGAATAGATCAAACAAGATAACATAGCCCTGGCCAGAGTTCTCAGTGGTCAGAGCATTGCCCCACGCACCGAAGGGTCCCAGGTTTGATTCCTGGTCAAGGGCATGTCTGGCCCCAGTCAGCGTGCGTGAGGGAGGGAACCCATCGATGTCTCTCTCTTACATCTATGTTTCTCTCTCTCCCCCTCCCTTCCTTCCACTCTCTCTAAACATCAATGGAAAAAATATCCTTGGGTGAGGATTAACCAAAAAAACAAACAAACAAGTTCACATAAACCACATAGTAAAGCACTGTAAAACATTAATCATTATTAGCCTTCACTAGCCCTTGCCCAGGTCCTGCACCCTCACATGGAATACCTTTTTCTGCTGAATCTGCTGAGGACAGTCTACCAATCCTTTAAAGCCTCACCCAAAGCTACCTCCATGAAGCCTTCCCTGGTCAGCTCCTTCAGAAGCCACTTCGCCTTCCTCTAAAGTCGTCTTATTTACACTGCATTTAACATAGGCAGCATACTGCTTTAGAGTTATTGTGTGCATAGCATTCTGTCTCCCCTCATAACCTCTCCAGAATATGGAATAAGTCAAATTCATTTGTTTCTTACATGGCCCCTAATACACTGAGTTTGTGCTCAATAAATTAAATGATTTCGGTATCTCTTTTTAAAAATCAATTGAAGCAAAAAATAATTTTACACACACTTAGATGAATTAATTAAACTCTTTTCAACAGACTTGGGTCCAGAGGAGGTGAGGCAATAACAGCACAGGGCGAGAATGAGATGGGCTACTCTTGCAGACTGAGCCTCTCACAAGGATGTCAAACTCCGGCCAGCGGGCCACATGCCCTGAGGTATGCGGCCTGCCAGCTGCGAGTCTGACATGCTTGCATCTAGATTCTAGAGGATAAAATGCCACCTGGAAGTCATGAAGAATTCATTGCTCAGTCTCCAAAAGGTTCATTTCCAATACCACTCCCAACCCCAAGAAAGGCCTTGGTCAACACCTGCGCTGAGAGAGCAGAGGAAAGGGTGTGTCCCACCTGCCAACGTGTGTAGAGAGAGAGAATCTAAGGACTAAGATAATCTCAGGCCTTCCTAGTATTCCACCTGTGGTAACAAAGTTTTACTCTAATATATTCACTGGTATGTGTTCTCTTATATTTCCAGATATTATAAATAACTGCCGAAGCATTTGCTGCTTCTAAAGGCTTCAGGAAGCAGTACATTGCTGGGGCATAGTAAAGCAATTCAAGTTCTCTAAAGAACAAGTTGGCAATGTGTAAGTTTTCATACCCTTTGAAGCAGTAATCTCATATATACCTGAAGAAAGCAATCCAAAACAGGAAAAAACAATTTGTTTGAAAATGTATACACGTAGCCTGGCCAGCGTGGCTCAGTGGTTGAGCATCGACCTATGAACCAGGAGGTCATGGTTTGATTCCCGGTCAGGACACATGCCCAGTTGTGGGCTCAATTCTCAGTGGGGGACGTGCACTGATGTTTCTATCTCTCTCTCCCTCTCCCTTCCTCTCTGAAATCAATAAAAATATTTATTTTTTAAATGTATACACATGTGCTATTTACACCACATCACACTGCTTATACCACACTCAGCAAAGGAGGCCTGGTTGGATAACCTGGGTTAACCAACCAGTAAGGTAGAATACTACACTTACTGAAAACAACCACTGACAAGTGTGAACCCTTTGAGATGCTGCTATTTAAAACTGGAACATGAAGTCAAAACTAATCAAAGGATAATTAAGCAAGATGAAAAAATTTTTACTACTAAAAACCGTCACCAGACTAACCCATTCAACTTGGCCTTAATACCTATCTACCCAGAAAAGTCAATAAACATCTCCATTTAATGAACAGTGGAGTTTCCTATTTTTATAAAATGTATCTCAGAATTTGGTTTTGGATCCAGTCTGAGTTTGTCACAAGAATAAATTTTGACTTTCTGAACACATGCAGAACACTGTTGACATAATTTACTTTTTAGCAAAAAAAAAAAAATGGGTAAGAGCTGAACTGCAGAGAAATGCACCTTTCCCTGACTTTTATGCAGTAATTTAACGACTGACCGACCTTTCATTGAGCTTTAATTATCTAATTATAGAAAAACCTACCCTGAATTAAATGTAAAGCTATTGTCAGTGATTCTCAAGTGGGGGAACTGGAGGAGGAAGGCAGCAGTTCCCCCTAAGAGGGACATATCAGAAGTTCCAGAGAGGCACATTTAGTTTAAAATATATATATTCAGTATTATAATTTTGTATTTAAAAAACAAAAATAGAACCCTAATTATCTGCAAAATACAACTAAAAATAAAGCAACAAGATCTTGGCTGGTGGATAAATACTTGGCTTTATGTACCCATTTCAGGGACCATGAGACTTGTATGTTTATCCAGAGGGAACAGAGGAGATTAGAAACACTGCTTTGGTCCCCATACATTGTTTCAAACCTGTATTTCATATATAGCCCCACAATTAAAAATTGGTGAAATGAAAAGACTTCCGACCTGAGAATAAGGTAGGTCATTCCCTCAACTCGCAAGTTCTAATATCTAGGTATATGCAAGGTGGGGAATTACTTTTGTTATTCATGAAGATATTTTATCAAAGAAGGTATGGTGGATGCACATTTGCTGCACATATGCCTGAATGCACTGTCTTCCTCCATCACTCTGGTCTCAGAAGGGCTAGCTGTTCCTGGAACATGGGAGTCACTCCTTCTGAACCGCTGCCAATAAAAACACCTAAAATCACCTCCCCTCCCCCCGTTCCTGTGTGCTCAGCGCTGTGGTGACCTGACTGTTCAGTACTATTTGGGGTTTAGTTTGTTCCTGTTGAGGTTTGTTTGTTTGTTTAATTTGAATGTGAGGGCAGATCTTTAGTCAGGTTGTGATAACTCAAAGTGGTATTCTATTGCAAAGAACAATTGCACAGGATTTCTGATAACCTGGGTAGGAGGCACTAGTAGGGTTCTAGAGAACGCATAGGTAAATATGCAGAAAATAGTTGTAAGGGGGGAAAAGGTAGGGTTCTACATTTCAGGTCAACTTTAACATAAGTACAAATTTTTACCCAGCTAAAAAGATGTTCTTAAATTCAACTTAGTGTTTGTAGAAACTGGTATCATGTGGCCCAAACCTAAACTGCCAAGTCACAACTTTCTTATCTATAAACTAGAGGCTCAGTACACGGATTCATGCAACAGTCCCTCAGCCTGGCCTGTGCCCTCTTGCAATCCGGGACCCCTCAAGGGATGTAGTAGTGCTCGAAGCGGCAGGTGGCCAGGGAGGAGCCTGATCCTGGCCCCTCGCATAGCCACAGCTGTGCTTTCCAGCCATCAGCCCGGCATCTGGTGCCCATCTGTCAGCTGAGTGGCGCTCCTGCTATGGGAGCGCACTGACCATCAGGGGGCAATTCCTGCATTGAGTGTCTGCCCCCTGGTGGTCAGTGCACATCATAGCTACCGGCCGGTCATGTGGTTTCTTAGGCTTTTATATAGAGGTAATGACACCCTACGAGGCGACTCTAAAAACTTAAATTAAGTAATGTATATGAAAATCCTTTCTTTATGGTAAAGGCTATGCAAATTATCACTTATAAATATGTATTATCTTAAAAATGCCTTTCACAGAGGAAATTAAGACATAAAAAAAAAATGCCTTTCACAGAATGGTAGATTAGAATAGGTTGAAATTTGGGTCTCCATCTTCCACTTTAAGCTTAATTCACAACTCATTTGAATTCATGCTATCCCCAAAACATTTCAAGTGCATCAAAATGTAACAAAACATCCCAAGTTGCATAAAATCGTTACGTCCCAGGTTTGTCACAAAAGAAGTAAAATGGCTATTTCATCAGAATCATACAAGGACTAAAAACCACACTGAAGAGCGGAGTGACACAGATAAAGGCATAGAGACAAAAGACAACAGGACAAACTTGGGGCATAGAAGACCCCAAAGAAGGCAGGAAAAAGGAAGTACATGGCCTGGGATAAGCCTCGTGGAACT